ATAAGGTCAATATTTAACGTCAGATTTACGGGGAACTAAACGCAGCTGTTTTATATATTAGTTTATAAAAGTTTGTTACTTTAGACATCTTTCTTTTTCAGACATTTATTCTGATTTCGAACGAGTGTCGTTGTAATATTTGCCGTAAGTAACATATACATATATTGATGACAGCGATAAAGTGGACCAGCCAATATCACAAAATTTAGGAGTTCGCATAATCTATTTACCTGAACTGTTGGCTCGCTGATTCTCTGTCAGTATTAATATTATATGTTTTTCTTCGTTTCCGTGAAAATGGCTATTTACCCGTGTATACAAATAAATTAAATCAAATTAAATACAGTAGAACCTTGATTATCCAAATCGCCAATGCCTGACTTATTAATTATCCTGATTCGATTCTAAATAATAAACAATTCGGATCTCTATGCAAAATAAACATTATCTACATTAATTGCAACACACAGAAGCTGCATTCATATTTCTTTTTTACTTTAATTAATTTATTCAGTTAAAAACAATGCAACAGTATTTTTAGATTCTCGAAATGTTTTTAGTATTTTGTATTTGATCGACTCATTGTTGTCATAAATCCATAAAATTCGCGATTTACTAATTACACTGTCCGACAAAATCAAACTTTTTTTCTGATCTCCTATAGCCGTTGTGAAATTCACACCCTCCATCACCCTTAGTTTTCGAAAAAGACGAACTTTTGTAAAAGCCTAAAATTTTCGAAGAAAATAAGGTATTGCATGAAAAGTAAAAACGTTAGAAAATTCTAATCGGTCTCAAAAGGCAGAGGAGAGTTTTCAGAATACAGTGGCATACAATTTATTAATTGCTTCCGGTCTTAAATAACTATAAATTAATATCAACGTTTAACAATGTGTCGACGTTAGGTGGTCATCCAGCTAAGTAACTATTCCATTATCCGAATATTCAACTCTCCAAAACTGATCCGAATAAACGAGGTTCTACTGTGTAACGATTAAACAACTCATAAATGTATTTATGCAATCTGAATACATCGTAAATTAATCAATTAGTGATTTCGACGGGTTCCGTAAACCTGGCGTTAATTTAATCGTCCCGGGCGATCTGGCGGGTCGGGTCCGCAGCTCGTAAACAATTCTGCGAAGCGGTTGCGCAACGTTTTCCCGCAGATTAGAAAACAGCGGGATTCGTTTGTTTCGCGGTACCGTAAAATCCTCGCGAAACCTTCGGCTTCCCCTCGGCTCGGCGGTAACGAGACCGAAGGCGGATGGTTTACAGAACTCCGTGGCCTCTCGTTTCACCGAACGGGATCGCTGTTAATCTCGCGAGCCTAACGCGTCTATAAATTATCCGCGCGAGCATGTGCGCGCGTTCTCCGCGCGGAAAGTGTTCCTGCGAGCTGGTCTTCGCGGCCGGCTGCGAGGATGGTTTATGGACTCGATCCGGCGTACTGTTAGACTCCGATTCCCTCGGTCATTATCGTCCACGACCTTCCCGCGATCGGGACGCGTTATCTCGATGCGGAAACCCTTCTCCGCTCCGCACCGCGCCGAAACGCTCCGCGATCTCGCGAACAGCTACCTTCGGATTCGCACTGCCCGAGATGGTAATTTCGCGATACAGAATCGCGCTACAGCGGCGCACGGTTGCCCGTGTGTTTACTCTGTCAATAATAATGAACGCAAGGGCGCGAGGCTGTATATTTTCGCAGAGATCCAAGCGCGTCCATTGTATCTTCCCGGAAGATCGTCGTATCCAGATCTGATTCCATGATCTTCCGCCGATCGACTTCTTCCACGCTCTCGCCGCCAAGATTTACTGGAGACGCTGTATCCGACGGGCCCCGTGTATTCTTGAGATCGCGAAGATCGCCCCGCATTCATAAATCCCCGAGTTAACGATCCGTGCACTGTTATTCAACACTTTCGCGGACTGGAGACGTTACGCGGGCGAAACTTTGGGGATCGATCGTGCGAAGATCGCGCTGCGCTGACGCGTTCGAAATTTTAAGCGGTTTTCTTTCTCATATGTTACACGGTGAATCGATTTTTCGATATTTTCTCTTGGCTACATGGAGTAGTTATTTGTCAGTGAAGTAAATTCTCTCTAATCGATGCTCGGCTTGTAAACGAAAATGGACAATTTGGGAAGAGGAGATACGATTATTCGAGTCTTGCGACACGCTTTTGTAGTTACTGATTGTCAACAACTATAAAAACGAGCCGCAAGGCTCGATTAACACGTTGACTGCCACGCGTATTTACAACAAAATCTCTTACAGGCCACCTGTGCCGCTATAGGAAGCGTGCGCTGTTAATTCAAGTCTGTTTCTGTTCCTGCATAAACAGTTGGAATCTTTGCCGAGTACGAAACAGTATAACTTAAAATCTCTGTCCCTATTTTTTCCAATAATGAAAAGAGATCGGATTGCCTAGAAGGAGAAGCATAAAAGGAATTACATCGTCAGATTCTGATTCGGATACTGATAAATACAATCTTAGTGATAATGAATGTTATGAAGATACTATTGACGAGATTTTTTACGAGAATTGGTCATGGAAGAAGAAAGAAATGTTGATGATACTGAGGAAGCTACAGTTCAAATAAAAGCTCAAATAAAAGATACNAAGAAAGAAATGTTGATGATACTGAGGAAGCTACAGTTCAAATAAAAGCTCAAATAAAAGATACGAAATGGACTGATCAGAGGCACGAGCAAATCTGAAAAAACCAACAACTTTTTGTCCAAGCTGTCCTGATCAACCTCAACTTTGCAGAGAATGTTTTAATGTTATACACTGCGAAT